TGTTGTTTCGTGTTCTACTAAATGAATGATCAAGCTTTATGGAAATTAAATAACATCCCTAGTAAATAGAACGTATTATTCGTTCGTCCTTTTTCAGTCCCCTTTTTCCCGTCTTTATCATGTTTCTCGCCACTTATCCAGCTCACTGTCAAAGTTAGTATGCTCAAATACCATCTGTGGTTTAGTGATTGCCGTCATTCGTCCTAGGCATCGATGTTTGTAAAATGTGGTCAGATAAAAGATACGAACGAGCACATTCTTCTTGAATATGGCTTAGAAACCAGCTCTTTGAGTTTATGCATTTCCAAATGTATATGTCTATGCATGTACGTATATAAAGCACACTTAAATGCACCAACGTAAATCCATTTTTTGTTGGTCCAAAGGTTTGCTCATTTTTTTTTGTTAATTTGTGTACGAGATTTGCGTGCGCAATTACGCCCTTTCACCCATTGTTGCAAACGGCGTTGCGCCCATTTTAATCCGTTAATGCAATATCCGTCTATTTAACCAACTTTGTGAATGTTGTTCTCAAATGTCCGATTTCACCTGTTCTTTTTCTGTGCGTTTCAGTTTGCATAATTTTTTCATTACTTCCATACAATTGACACCACTACCTTGTTGACGGACAGGCCAATTGAAGTTGTTTTGTAAATTGAGCTGGCTGCAGTTTATTATTATTTTTTTCAACAAAGGGCTTTATGTGTCTAACCCCTACAAGCGTGTCTGAGTCATACCACCATGAGGTGAATTTCCATTGGTTGATAAAATTAAACGCGCACACACTACCTGCGGATGTCCTTGACTGGTTTATGACTCATTTTAATAATCGGTGTCGACGGATTAAGGAATAAATCCACGCCATTCATGTTTGGGTTAGCAATTTGCGTGAGCCGAGAATCTGTCTGGGTGATGCTTCAAAAGCGTTGTATAATGTAGCAAATTTCCTTTTGTTCTGCAAAATGGTGCCTTGTGTCAGTCGTCCTAAATTTTACGGAGCAGTTTTACCCGAAATGTGAATTGTTTTTTAGTCGGTCTTGACTTCACTGCCTAAAAATTCCCTTTAGTGAATCTGCGGTTGAATTTTTCAGATTTTGAGGTACAAATGTGGATGCAATCGGCTGAAAAGTCCACGCATATACATACTAAACGCAAATTTATAGGTGTTGCAGACACTGAGGCATGAAGATCTCTAATGGAAACCAAATTTTAGCTTCTCCATGAAAATCGGAATTTCTCACAGCAACTTAAAGACTGCTATCGTGAGAATATGCTTTCACGAGCTATGCATTTGACGTCATTAATTATGGGAGGAAGTTGCCTGAAATTCCTGGGTCTGGATTTCTCACAAGAAATCTGTTTTTCGAATTTGCTAGTGTTGGTGCTGGGTAATTTTAATTTCCATTTGCCTTTTTTGGCCCTCGATTTAGAAACCATTGTACCACTTTGTTTTTACGTGCAAAAAAGGCTACTATAAAGGCACATAAACGGCGTTTATGAATATGTGTACATATTTTTCTACGACTGCTTAAACTTGCGCAGGAGTGGACGTTTAACCAAAAATCCTCCTTAGAAGTCAGCTCAACCAATCAGCGAATTTATTTTCCCAAGCGAGCGCTAACGCTTGTCCAAGCAAAACCGTCGATCGTTTGCTAAATTTGTTTGAATGGGAATAAATCTTCGCCACGGAACTTGGATTTGTAATTGGTGACTTATTAAAAATAAAGGTTTTATTTTTTTGCTTCTAATCTTCACTGTTGCTGAGGTAGTTGCTGAATTCGTCATTAATCATGATATTTTGTCGTAATTGAGTTGTTTTCTCCACTAATGTCCACGTTAAGTTGGTAAGGAAATCTTGTTTAAAGATTGACCGCGAAATTAGCTCAAATGATAGTTGATTTTCTTTTGCAGTTTTGTTTCTGCATGGATTTTTTTCATGTCATTCTTAAATAGTTTCTGTCGGAATTGGCACTTCTTCAGTATTCTGTGATTGTTTTGAGGAAGTTTCGACCTTAAAGCATCTGGACGAGTTCTTTTTTCAAATTTCGATTATGCCACAAGACTTGGAAGTAGCGGTCGAGAGTGCGTTTAAGGCGATATTTCACTATTTATGGAATCTTGTGTTTGTTCACGTCTTTTTCACGTGAAATCCGTCTCGCGTCGAACCGCGGAGGTTCAGTAAGCCTGTAAAATGCTGATTACAGAGTTCAAGTTGGTCTGAACAAATGTGGATCTCTTTCTAATATGAGCAGTTCTTCGCCAACTTCGGCGTTCTTGTTGAGGCCTATTTCACCGTATCTCTCGTGCTATTATGTTCTGCTCATTGGACATTGTTTATTTTCAAACGTCTGCTCCCTCTGCACGTGGGATTTTTTTGGAAAAAAATGTCAAAAAACGCGATCGAATTAATGTATAAACCACTGGTCAGTCATTAGGTCGTGTTGGTGCGTGTTTATTATTTTTTTAAACCCGCGAGATTTTTGCTTTCATACATGCACTAATTTTTGATTGGTCAACTTATTCTGCAGTTATCGCGTGAGCTGTGCGCACGCACGCATTGACCTGCGTCCAATCAGCGGTTGACGTGCGGACGTTGATTGATTTTTAGCCTGCACTTTCGAGTCGACGTGCGTGCGTACGTGCATGAATGCGTGAGAGCGTGCACACACGCGAGTGTGCCAAACGTTCGCCTGCATGCGCGCACCAACGCACACACGCACGCACACGACCTTGTGATGTGCACACGCATACGCACACCGCCATAAACTGAATTTATATTTAGTGAATTTTGTTCAATTGTGACGAGTAAATTGAAACCACTTTTGACCCACCGCTGTGCTGCTGCGATCTTGACAACCTGCTCTTTTGCTTACAGATAGATCTTCGAGACCCGTTAAAAGGGAAAGGTAAATTTGAATTTTGGTATGCTTATTACAACTTCTGTTGCATTATTCGATCTGTTCTGCTATTTACGTCGCGGGTTCCACTTCACATTAAGCACAATCACGGAACTACTTGAACTAAGCCTTCTTTTATTGTAGAGAACATCCCTGTTTCCAAGTCTGAATTTTCTCTAGAAATTTGAGAATTTTGATTTTGTCGTAACTTAAATTCTAATTATGGAGTAAGGTTGGGTGTGTATTGTGCTATCTTCTCGAGTCGAATTTACAGGTCCTCTTTTGCTCATGGTTTAACTGTCAGTAGGCTGGAATTACTGTGATTGGTAGTTTCAGTTGCTTCCCTTCATTTCAACAGCTTACCATCTTGATTCAATTCAAATGAATCGCGTTCATTTAATAAATTTCTACGCTACGACTCCGAATTAAACTGATATTTATTTCGTGATTTTTTTGTTTAAGGTTAATATGGTTTTCACTATCGTTAAATGCAGTTAATTTGGGTCGATATTGGTGGTACTTGTGGTGCAGTAGGCGGTCTCATGTTTAGGGTCCCTTAGTTTTTCCTTCTCTTGTAAAAGTTGTGCATTTTATGCAGGCATACCCCCGAGTGTATGGCTTTTTGTTCCCGTTTGGATGCTTCGGTTTTGACTCTTCTCCCCAAGTGTTAGGTTCTTCCAAACACAAACTTCCAAGCACTATTATTAAGCATTCAATTATTGCAATTGGCCTGTTGAGTGAGTCCTTGTCCATTAAATTATGACGACAGGCAGTTATTTTTGTAGCATTGTATGGCTCAGATTGGCTTTTGAAGTGAAATTCTAAGGCAATTTACGTACGTACAATTTAGATCAATGCCAATATAAATGATGAATTCCACCAATCAGCAGTCTTTTTCCATTCGGACATGCACGAACGCGTACGCGCACATCTCTTATGCGCGCGCGTGTGAGGTGTGTGAGTGAAATTAAAACAAGC